ATGGACCTTCAAAATGCTTTGACATAGTTCCAATATTATGTTTGATTTTGAGATTATAGCATACTCAAAACTTCTCTTGTTTCGTGGTATACTTTAAAATTAGTAAATAGCCAACCCTCGAAACACTTCTCGAGGCTTGAAAGACGAGTAACCAACCTTCAAGACAATTATCGAAGTTTTAAAGGTGAGCAGCCAACCTTCAAAATAATTCCTGAAAGCTTCGAAGGCAAGTATCCAACCTTCGAGACAATTCTTAAATCTTCAAAAGTGAGTAGCCAACTTTCAAAACAATTCCCAAAGCTTCGAAGGTGAGTAACCAACCTTTGAAACAATTCTCGAAGCTTCGAATGAAAGTAGCTAACTTTCAAAACAATTCCCTAAGCTTCGAAGGCGTATAATCACATCCAACCATCGATTGTTTGAAACCCAAAACTATTGTTGATGCAACATATAGTCCTTTGAAGCTTTCGAAATCTCAACAAAAAGGACTTTCGAAGAACATGTTTTGATTCATATCAAAAATAATAATAATAATAATAATAATAAATAGAGTTTTGCGATACCTTCTAACCAAATGTATGAACCTTCGAAGTGCTTTTGAGAGAGCTTCGAGCCACCTTCGAACTAAATATATGGAACTTTGAAGTGTTTTTGAGTTTGAATTACTTTCAAACCCAATATATAGACCTTCAAAGTGCTTTTGAGGGAGCTTCGACCCACCTTCGAGCCAAATCTGTGGACCTTCGAAATGCTTTGACATAGTTCCAATAGTATGTTTGATTTTGAGATTATAGCATACTCAAAACTTCTCTTGTTTCGTGGTATACTTTAAAATTAGTAAATAGCCAACCCTCGAAACACTTCTCGAGGCTTGAAAGACGAGTAACGTTGGTTACTTGTCTTAAAGGTGAATCGTCTTCAAGACAATTATCGAAGTTTTAAAGATGAGTAGCCAACCTTCAAAATAATTCCTGAAAGCTTCGAAGGCAAGTAACCAACCTTCGAGACAATTCTTAAATCTTCAAAAGTGCGTAGCCAACTTTCAAAACGATTCCCAAAGCTTCGAAGGTGAGTAACCAACCTTTGAAACAATTCTCGAAGCTTCGAATGCAAGTAGCTAACTTTCAAAACAATTCCATAAGCTTCGAAGGCATACAATCACATCCAACCATCGATTGTTTGAAACCCAAAACTATTGTTGATGCAACATACAGTCCTTTGAAGCTTTCGAAATCTCAACAAAAAGGACTTTCGAAGCACATGTTTTGATTCATATAAAAAAATAATAATAATAATAATAATAATTGATAGAACTACTTTGAAGACATCCTGGAGCCATCTCCAATACATACAAAGACCAAACTTTTGGTCTTACCTTAAAGGAAATTAACCAATGTCTCCCAAAGTCAAAACAAATTTAAAAATGGATTCATAAATGAAATCCAAAATTAAACCACTCCACAAAGTTAATTAGGGTGTTATGTGGTTGTTCATAAAGCTTGAAAATTTCAAAAATTAAATTAAAATAAAATAAAGTTAAATTGCTATTACTTCGAATAAATTGGCCATTCTTAGTCAAGTTCAACATTTCAAATGGCCAACTTATTCTTTAGTGCATCAAACTCATCAAAATAATGCTTAAAGATGATTGTTTTATTAGCTATTTCATCAAAATTAAATTTTGATGTGAACCACAAATCCAAAAAGATTTTTGAACACCAAGAACAATAGTACAAGATGGCCTTAAAAATTCAAACAACTTGACATTTTGGATAATTTCAAAAAATTCAGATTCATGAATATTAAATTGTTCATCATTCTTAACCATGTTTGGCTTTAGAACATGTTCTTCGGCCAAATAACTTTCATCATTCATTGATAAATGGAGTTTGTTTTTCTATTTTATCCATTAATGGATTATAAAAATCCTCTATGTGAGGTTCATCATTTCTTGGTCTAATGGGTAGTTCCATTTTAGCTATTAATGGCTTATGAAAATCTTCCATATGAGTTTCATCATTTTTGGGCTTAATGGGCTTCTCCATTTTAGCCATTAATGGCTTATGAAAAGCTTTCATTAGACATGTTATTTCCATGGTATGACTCTCCAAGAATAGGTTTTTCAACCCCACAAGCTTTATATGGAACATCATTTTAACCATGTTTGGTATAATAACATGCTTTTTAGCCATGTTATTTTCATAAATTGATTCTTTAAAAATGAGTTTTTTGACCTCCGGAGCCATTGATGAAATCAATTCGTTTCTTTTGTCATTTTCAACACTGAAAGAATTTTAAAAAAATTCATCAATTCCGGCCATTAAAGCCTCCATTAAAGACTTGGTAGTGAGAGTTGACAACTCATCATTCCATTGACGAACTTCTATATGAAGTTCATGAATTTTCCCAATTAAATCGTGTCTTTTTTTTTCCACCAAATAATTTTGAAATGGATGGAAGTTTGTTTTATCAAGAAAATGAATATTTTCTTGAAGATCCAAAATTTTTTGTTTACGCCAAAAGATTTCATCTAGGCTATTTGGAATGGATGAATCCAATTCATTTTTCATTTCTTACATTTAACGTTCCACTAGGCGTGCCAAAAATTGTTGGCTTATTTTTCCTACGAAAAAAAATATTATAAATGAGAGGGTGCTAACAATGATTGAAAAATCCTTACAGATTAAATTCAAGCCAATTATCAAGTGATTGTATTGACGGTTGTTTTGCCTCAATGAAGAGGACTTCAAAATTGCCAAGTATAGAGAAAAGAAAAATTAAAAGAAGAAGAAGGGAGATGGAGAAAGATGATTGAGTGAACAATCAAGGTGATTGAGTGAACAATCAAACTAACCATTAATTTACCTCTACTTCTATCCTTCGAAAAGAAAGTGTATAAAATAAAATGCGGAAAATTTACCTCTACTCCTATGCTTCGAAAATGAAGTGCATAAAATAAAGTGCAGGAAATATAAATGACAAGAAAAATAGAAATCAATTGCCTTTGATTTGAGTTCTGGACCCTTACAATGTAGTCATGAATGGCTATTTATAGGCAATTGTAAGAAAAAAAAACTACCTAACAACTACCACATTCTTTAATTTCTCACATTTCACATTCCATGATCTTTCACTTCATCTTTATGTCTTCATAACTTCTTTTAACCTCTAATTCATGCTTCATGATTCTCTACATTCTCCATCATCTTTTCACGTATGTTTAATGATATACAACTTCTCACAACCTCCAAATAAGTAGGAGAGTGCCACGTGTCCTGTAATTTATCAATAATAATACTAAATTATTTATTTATGGTGCCAACCGTACTAGTAGAAACCATTTGTATGTAATGTTTTCTCAAATTAATTATGTTCACGTCTATAAAAATTGACATTCATTTAATAGATCATAGATGCCTTTTGGTACTATTCTTGTTAAAATGTAAAAAATCACAAAAAAAGGGGAAAAAAAGTGAAATCCAAACTTATCTCGAGTCAAGGTCTTGGATACATCAAATAAAGTAGAGTTCGGATTCATTTACAAATTACTATGAAATATATGTTAAATGTATAATTTTATTGTATAAAGTCATACTGTAAATGTAATTTTCCAGGTAAGTCAACATTATTATTTGTGTATTGGTATAAACCATTTTTATGTAACACTTTCTCAAATTAATTACATTCACATTTATAAAAACCTTACGTTCATTTAATACGCCAAAGAGGTCTTCTGGTACTATTTGTGTTAAAATGTAAGAAATCACTCCCCCAAAAAAATGATATCCAAACTTTTCCCTGTCTATTAGCCAGAAATAATCCTCCAAGAAATTACATTAATTTCAATTTTTTTTTGGGATGTTGAAATTTATACAGTTTGATATCCAAATTTCATTTTATTTTTGGTTTGGTGGAATCAGAGGTGGGCCATGGGCCGCTCTGCTGTCAGTCTAGTGTGGCCTGCGAATTATAAGAAGAGAATGGGCTTCAGCCTAGTTCGGCCTTCCCATCAGTAATAGTGTGGTCTAAAGAAGCCCAGTCGTAACAAATCAACCCAAAATTTTAGGCCCGAGACAATAATATTCATCCATTGGCCCAACCCAAACGTCATATAAAAACAAAATCCTACAGATCTGACTTTCCTCATTTCGTCCCCCACCCAAAAAACAGAAAATTCATATATATCCAAATTCCCAAATGCAATATGGCATTACAAAAATAAGTGAGACCTCAAAAATTGGAGCTCTAAAGGGGCATTAACTTGTACTTTTTTCCCTCCTATTTTGTCTTTTACCTTCCTCTTTTTTCTTTTCTTTTTTTAAACAGTGACAGCTCATTAGAGCTGCTTAGAGCTTTCTAGCAAAGCCCTATGGCATTATTATCGGATTTTTTTTTTTTTTATCATTATTTAGTAGTAAATTTTTTTACTATAAATTTAGTGAAACAAAGTGGAGAAAATATAAATGATATATAACATTCAGACGTGAATGGTTTTCATGTCACTTATGTGATATGGATGTGTGTTTTTTATTTGAAAACTGTTATAAATTAAAAAATAATGTCAGTTGTCAACAAATTTATTTTATTTGAAAACAAGAAAAATCGTATATATGTGTATGTATGTTCATGACCCATTATATTTTTATAAATACCGATATATTTATCATGTCACATATGAAATCATGTAAGAAAAGATAAAAATATTTCAATGATATATAATTTTTTTAAAAAAATAAATAACGAAGAAAAGTAAAATGTATCATGTGAGTTCAAATCTAGTGCTTGCAAAAATAGTCAGATTGTTCACTGGCCGAGCGTATCTCACTAAACAATGTGTGGCCATTCATAATTCCGCCTCTAACTGATCTCTTACAAAGCCAAAAATATATCACATCATGGTCAAAAACAAAATAACAAAACAAAAACACAAAGACTAAAATAAACCATTCTATCTTTAAACATTGCTAACACGAGAATTACACGGCAAATTCAAGCACATAAACCCCTTCCCAGCTTTGTTTTACAGCACAGCCCCAAGAGCTCTCAATCAAGAGAAAGAGAAAACAAGAAAACAACAACCAACAACAACAATAAAAATGAATTCCATTTCAGGTTTCTTTTTTCTCTTACCTCTCACCATCTGCCTCTCCCTCGTCGCGGCCCAAAGGACCACCACCCTCGCAGTGGCCCAAACCAATGGCACCGCCACCGCCACCTCCCCTGCCAGCCTAATCACAAAAGCCTGCGGTGCATCCCAACGCAAGGACTTTTGCGTCGCTCTCCTCAACGCCGATCCCAACAGCCAAAAAGCAGACCTAAAAGGCCTCGCATTCGTTGCCCTCAAGGCTGCATCAAAAAATGCCACAGACATATCGGCCCAAATTAAGTTGTTGCTAAATGGGACCGATGTGGCACCCACTGTGGACGATGGGCTCACTAACTGCGACAAGGCCTACCATGACGTGGTCGACCAGATTGAGGATTCGATCAGTGCCTTGGTTTCGAATACCCATAAAGATGTGGAGAATTGGATGAAGGCTGCCATTGCTGATATCGATACGTGCGAAATGGGCGTCAAGGGACAGACAGAGCTCGCTGTGGAGCTGTCTCGCAAAAACCGTGTTCTTCGCCAATTATGCAACACTGCTTTGGGCATCGTCCATGTTGTGGCCCGTAATTGATCTCAAATTTATGTAATGTGTTAATATTAACCCCTTTTTATCGTACACAAGTTATATACGCAATAATACGGGTTTCTATAATCTTTTATGAATGTAACTGTTCACCTCAAAGCAGAATGCTCAGCTCAAATAAAAGCTATTAATAAAAAGACAGTCATTATGACTTATTTTGAAGGATGTCATTATCGTTTTTTTTTTTTTTTTTTTTTTGGATGAATTTTATCTTTGAAAAACAAACGTAATAGAACCCAAATTAAGTACGAAAATCTGAGTACCAAATATTATTGTATATGGCATTTATTTTTTTCAATCTCAATAACAAATATTGACCTTATTTGAATTAATATAACAGTTGAATTCAAAAATTAAAATCACCAAAGCTGTGCATTTGTGCAAGCTTGGGTTTACATCCTTATTACTACAAGAATCAAAGAAGATAGACCTAATTAATGGCAAGTAGTTGCACAATTACAAGAATCAAATATCAAAAAGACCTAGCAAGGGTTCAGCTCATAATAAGCCACTAGTGAATGTCACTCCAGTCTGAGACAACCAAGCATCCCCCACCAGGAAATTTGAAACAGTGAAATTTATCGCATCTGTAGCGCTAATAATGTGGTATCCAGACCATGTCACTCTCCCACTAGTGTCCGATCCGGGTCCCGTGTTATTAAACTCCGCATAATATGTTGTATTCAGTGCAAAATCACCATCCCATTCGTGCCATCCCAAAGGATTTATCAAACTATCCATGAAAGATTGCATATAAACGGTCCTCGAGTACAGTTTCCATGGCCGTCCTAGATATGTTTGTACGGTACTATTGCTCGAAGCCAAATCATCGGCTGCTCTGATTGCACAATTTTGAATCGAAATGCCGGTGTTCTGATTCGGGTCTGTTCTGCCTTGGGCCGTGATGGCATTGAATTGGCCGGATAAGGGCTCCCTCGGATACATGTTGCAGTTTTGGAACACGGCCGCGGCATTACCAAATATGAAATCGACTGTGCCGTAAATGTCACATTCTCTGTAGAATTGCCTGAGGGAATGTGCATATAGTGTGTCTTGGTATGCTTCAAAGCTGCACTTGTAGAATGTAGACAGATCAGCACCGTTTCGGACTGCGACTGCTTGGTGTTTGATTGCACCGGCTGTGTTACGGAATGTCATGTTGACTGCCACAAATCCTTGTCCGACCACAGCTGAAATAGTGATGGTACAAATTGTGAGATTATGCCCAAAAAGCAAAGTTAAATAATAAGATTTTAAATTAATAAACTCGAGAATTTTTTAGTTAAAATTATAGAAAGAGAAAGGAAATATTTGGAATCGGATCTTCAAAAATATGAGAATCTTTGTTCCTATGTCCAAAACACCATTTATATCATATGATTTATCTCTTTGATTCTTATTCTGTAGTAGAGAAAGGTTGGGACATAGGAATAAAGAGTGGGATAGGAGATCTAATTTCGAAATTGAGTTTGATTCTCTCCAGTTTGGCATTCAATTGAAGAGGGTGCTGCTGGATTTGGTGGGCTAATACTAAAAGTCCATTTCAATGACCCAAAATCAAAATTATCACACATTAATAATCATATGACCATATCACAATTAAAGCAAATGCAAACGACATTATTTAATATTATGTTTAGTACAAAAAAAAAAAAAAAGTAATTCAAATGATGATAATGTTAAAATCAATGAAAAGTGTTTTAAAAATTGTGAAAAGTATCTACGTTGCATTTGTACTCACCGAAGGTTGCAGAATTGAACGTGGTGGAGCCATCAACAAAACTACGATTGCCAGTGACAACTGTCTGATTAATACCATCGCCGATCATCATCAAGAATTTCTTGTTCTTTGCAATCGACACATACTCTTGGTACACACCGGCGGTGACATATATCACAAAATACCCATTATTAGCATGAGTATTGTTCGGAGCTGCAGCCACAGCATCATTAATAGTGGTGAAATTATGACTCCCATCCTGGCTCACGACCACCATGTCGCTCACCACAACCTGCCCATCAATACTTGCTTGAAGAAGCTTTTTTCTACTCACAGACTCATAAATGACCTGGTTCTTGCTAGACATTTTCAATGGCAACCGACCGTTCTGAAAAGCCAACAGCTTCCTACTGGGTTTCATTTTCCCCTTCTTCTTATTCGGAACCCACCCTTTGGTAAACAGAGCTAAAGAAACACTATACAATCTTGTGTCATTAGCTAGAGGTGTGTAAAGACCATTCTTCACACTCCAAGATTGAGAAGTAGCTTGAAGGCCATCCAAACAGGTCTGTGTGTTTGTTAGAATGGCACTGAGCATTGTCTGCACATCATCAGCATCCATAGTAGGAAGAGTTGTGGCGGTAGCATTGACGGTTTGGAAAGAAGTTGTGAGAAAATCCATGTTGAGAGAAGCTAGAAATCGACAATCTTGGAGAGCGTTAATAGCGGTGGGTGTTAAGGACGAGGAACGGCGAAGATAGTTGTCGATTAAAGAGAGAAATTTACTGGCAGAAGATAGAGATTTTCGGAGTGATAATCGACCGTAGTCGTAGACATTGGCAGAGTTGTTGTTTGGAAGTACGGTTTTGCAGAAGGAAGGGTATGGAGTGTAGTTGCAAATGGTTCCGGTGGAGGTTGGGCTGGAAGGAGAGACATTTGCAGCGGAAGATGGAGAAGATGAGAGAGAAAGAAGAATGAGAGAGATGGTGAAGGAAGAGAAGAGGAGATTTGAAACCATGGCTATTGAGAATGAGAGGGGTTGATCACTTGATATGAGATTGTTTGATTAATTAGTTGATATATGTGTAGTATATATAGTGGAGGTGAAACCAAGTTAGTTTGATTATTAAACGGAGAATGTTAGAGATGGTGGGATTGAGTACTGTGGAAAGTCAACATATGCGTGGCTTATCTCTATGCAAAGCGCGTCGATTTGGAACTTTGTTTCCATGGCAGGAGACGCAAGTTGTTCTTGTCTGTTGCAGGTCTTTGCGCAGGGATATGGGTGTTGGATGTAATGTCCAAGTTTACGTCTTAAGAAAATAAAAAAATAATTGCTAGACACTTGTAATTTAGGCCTCTTGTTTGGAAATATCATATTTTAGTAATTTCTTTACTTTTTATAAAAAGATGTACAGAAAAATAGAAAGAGTGATGTGATAATTTATAGTGACTTTTTAACTAAAATACTTAATTTCCAAACAAGATCATAATATCTCAAATTCATCTATAATAATTTGACAATGGAGTTGGATTTTATTTGATTAAATTTGTAACAAATGGAGTTGGATTTTATTTGATTAAATTTGTAACAAATCAAAATTGACATTTAAAATATCATATCATCATTGTGAGTCAAATTTAAAAACTTCAAACAGTCAAACATTTTCATATTAAAATTGTACGGGCTAGTTTATATATTAAGGAATAGGATTATTTTTACAAAAATGATTGTGTTTTAATTTTAAACTACCTACTGACACCACTATTGATTATAGGGATGTTTGGGAATTAATTTTTATTTATTTTTTTTTTTATTTTTTTATAAAATGACAAGTAAAAAAGTAAAAAGAATGATTTGATATTTTTTTTGATGGGAAAATAATTTGATAATTTATAATGACTTTTTTAGTAAAAATTAAGGTTCCAAACAAGGCCAAAAACATCTACTTCCTAGCTAAAAATGATAAAATTATGATTTAATTTTATGCATTCTGTCTTCCCTTTGCCTTCCTTCTTTATCTCTCCTGCACGTTAGTTCAGCTCTTACAATTAGAAACTCCACCACATGACAATAACTTTGGCAGCTAACTCACATCCAAACAGCTGCACTGGAGCGACCAAAAAACCACTACAATGTTGGGTGTACCTCTTTATTGGAGCGTGGGACCCAATTAATTTATTAAAAGAGTTTTAATTTGGCTTGGTTTAGATATAATATATTTTTATATATTATATTTGTGGAGACCTAATTCAATTAAGATACAATTAGGGTTTGATTTCAAAACCCAAGATTTAACAATATATATATTATTTTGTTTGAACACAAAAGAAAGGACGGCGGCTGCTATATGCCATACTATTGCACTACTTCGGTAACAGTGCCAAAGCTTGGCAGATTGGTTCAATTTCAGTTATTGAAGCTTGGTTTGGGGCATCTTCGGTTAGTGCTGGGTTTATTGTTTTGGGTCTTCTACAAGTCTGGTTCTGAAGATTTTGGTTCTTCTATTTGGTGAGGTCTTTCCTCTTTATTTATTTGTGATTATTTAGAATTCACCTAAGGGTATTTTGTGAGACCATTAGTGTCTCGTTTGTAATCGTTTGAAACTTATTTGGTTGATAGTGGAATCGGATTTCGATCCCGTGGACGTACCTCACATTGAGGGAACCACGTAAAAATTCTTGTGTTACTTTTGATTTAATTTTTCCGCATTAGTTTTTATTCCCATTGATTGATTTACTTGTGGGGAATCACGGATTTTCCCTAACAACTAAAGGAAATTTGGAAACAATAAAACAATTAACAATTAAAAGAAAAATCAAACTTAAATCCTAATAATGAATCTAATACAATAGTTTTCAAGAATCAATCAAAACTACCTAATCTAAAGCTAACAATACTATGATGATCACGTTATTACACCATATACGACCATCATAAAAATATTATCAATCTAGAACTACGGATCGACACATGGGACAAGAATTATGTGATTCTTACCCTGGCTCAATGCAACGATGATGAAAAATATGAGAACATGGCATGGAATGGAAGTAAGCTCTGTTCCTTCCTAAATTCCTCTAAACAAACAGCACAAGTAGTGCACTTTTCATCATCTCCTTCACCATTGAACTCCACTACTTTCTTCAACCTATCAATGGTGGCCTTTGAAACACCCTTCCTCGCCCTCATCCTCGTCCTCATTGCCCTTACAGTTTCATCAACACCACCCCCATCCTCCATGATAACCACCCCATCTACGGCTAACATATCCATCATCATATCGTCTATCGATTGAGCAGAAATCAACTCCATCGTGGTGGTGATTTTCAAATCCACAATGACTTGAAACCCAAGACTCTCCCCATATTCAATAATCAAACCGGAAAGAGAACTAATGTGTTCCTTCATGGAATTGCAGAGTTCGAAACCCCTGGACGAAAGCTGGTTAAAAACGTAGGGATCCCACGAAGCAAAAAAGGGGAGATATTAAAGAGGAATGAAGTCATATTGAATATCAGGAAAAGCAAAGGTAGGATAATTGGATTCAACATTGCCTTGATGAGTTTGCAATCGTAGTTTAACTAGATTGTTGACATGTATTTCGATTAGCGTTGGAGTTGGAGCTGGAACTAGAGGTAGTGGGTTGATCTGTGGTGGCGCATATGTTTCAATGTCATAGTTTCTTGATATAGTTTCCATGATGAAGCTTGAGAGAGAGAGAGAGAGAGAGAGGAGTTTTAGAATGGTGACTATGAAGGTATGGGGTGAGTGACCTTATTTTATAGTACTAGTCAGAAGAGTTTAATTTTTGGTTGAGTTCTAGTATTTAGAAAGCCTAAGTAATATTGGACTTCGATTTGTCAACATAAATTTCAGAACATAAACCTTACACTTTGGATCATTTACCATGTGTATTATCAAGAAATCAAGACAAAATGACATACCTGAATCCATTAATG